AGCTAAATGCACCTTTATTTACAAAATATCCATTATAAAATTTTACAAAATTTTTCCTTTGTGTGGAGACTTTTGAGACACCCTGTATAATGCTGTTTAGATGATGCTTCTGAAGTGTAAAAATAATCTGGTGCCTCCCTATTATCTGTGGGAAAAAAATCCTAAATTCTAAGCATGGCATTCCCATAATCTGCTTTTATACTTCCTTTCTACCTCCCCACCCTCAAGACATACATACCATGCTTATGCAAGTACATACATACTGTACATGTGCTTGCACATATGGTGCCTCAGTAAATTTCAGGGCTTGTAGTTTACCAAAAAGTACCTATATTCTTCTTGGAATGCTCATCTGACAAGTATTGACTCAGCTTTCAGGATTCTACAGAAACATTTCTATAAAACCTGGAAATACCATCTCTACCTTTTAAGGAGAATTGACTCACACCCCTATTAACTTTACTCTGCCTCCTAATAACTGCGTATATTACTCTTTCTATATTATCAAACTATAACACTTTTTTTTAATATTTATGTCTTTACCTTCTACTGAGTTTCTTGAAAGTAGAGACTATGATGTCTCATCTGCAGATCTAGATCTTAGCAGAGTGCCTGACTCGTAAAACACAGCCCAAAATTTGGGAATTAAATGGATTTTCATTCTTTTATTTATTTGTCAGATATTTACTGAGCCCCTGCCTATATGCCAGGCATAGTTCTTGGCACTGGGGATTCATCAATGAACAAAACAAGCCCTTGGCCATTCTAGTGGGGTGAGTTGGAGAAAATGGAAAACCAATTATGATACCAGGTGCTGTGAAAAAAAAAAATTGCTATTATTAATAAAAAATTCTATTTAAAAAATTAGGTAGGATAGAGGGTAGTGACAGAGAGTACTGCATTTGATAGAGTGGTCATGACATTCTTCCTGAGGAGGTAATATTTGAACAGAGATTTGAATGAAAATATGTAGGGCTCAAGTGATCCTACTGCCTCAGCCTCCCGAGTAGCTGGGACTACAGGAACGAGCCACTGTGCCCGGCTGATTTTTTTTCTATATATTTTTAGTTGTCCAGATAATTTCTTTCTGTTTTTTTTAGTAGAGACGGGGTCTCGCTCTTGCTCAGGCTGATCTCGAACTCCTGAGCTCAAACAATCTGCCCGCCTCTGCCCCCCAGAGTGCGAGGCTGACGCCACAGCACTCACTCTAGCCAGGGCAACAGTGAGACTCTGTCTCAAAAAAAAAAAAAAGAAGATATGTAGGGGAAGAGCATTCCAGGCAAAGGGAGCAACAAATGCCCTGAATGCGCCTGCTGTGCTCTAAGACCTGCAAGAAGTCTGCTAACTCAGAGTGCAGGGATTGTGAGGTAGAGAGGTGAGAAGTGATGGTGGAAAGTAGCCTGGGACCAGATCATGAAGAGGTATATGTCTTTGTATTTTATTCTAAATGTCATGGGAAGCCATT